GAACCATTGTGGTTCTCAGGCTACTCTGGCTTGAGTGCAATGGGAGGAGAACAGTTGGGGCCACAAACAGAGTTTAGCTTGTTTTGCCTTTGCCACAATGCGAGAACTCCAATGTCCCTCTTGTGTTTCTCCCAGACAGTCCTGGAGAAGGACCCCGGGGGTGTCACACTGTACTTCAACATCTGCTCTTCTTGGCTGACACTGTTTTCTCTCTTGTTTACCCTGGCTGGCATGGTACTGCCCTACATCACTGGCATCCCGCACAGGGCCATCATGATGCTGAGCTCTGCCAAGGGCCCACACCTACCAGCACAGCCCGTGAGCACATGAAAGCCATCAGAACCTGAGTCCAAGACCTGTAGCATTGGTGGTGCCAAGGGCATTGGTGACTCCATTAGGAGTGAAACTGAGGCAATGCTGGCACCATTGCTGATGACAGTGCTTAATAGAGGTTGAACTGTGTTTGAAAAGCTACCTGGAATTCTACTAGCTGGCATCTGTGAAGAGGACCTTACTTGGTCTTTGCAAATGTACCTAAAATATAAATTCCAATGAAGTCATACCAGTGTATGGTGGGCCCTGCAACCGGTATTGCTGGTTTCCTTGTATGAACAGGACTAGTGCACAGACAGACAGGCAAGGGAGAAGAGCATGCTGTGGTGATGGAGGCAGGGGTTGGAATGCTCTGTCTTGTAGCCAAGGGACACCAAAGCTCATTGGCAGCAGCCAGAAGCCAGGAGCCAGGCATGGGAGATTCTCCCTCACTTGCAGTAATAACAGGCCCTGCAGTCACCTTGAGCTGGAACTTCTGGCCAACATAAGTAGAAGACAGTGGCCTGGCAAGCGATTGTTGTTATGGCAGCTACCAGAAACTGGAAACACTACTGCTCTCTCAAAGGCTGCTGCCTGGCCAGGTGGCCCCTGGATCCACCAGGGTTGTGCAGAAGTGTTCACTTCTGTATCTGGAATCCTGGTACAAACCCAAGAAGGACCCAGAAGACAGCAGATGAACCAGAGCTGCTCGCTCCCTGAGCTTTTGATGGCTCCAGAGCCAGTGTGGGACTCTGCCTTCTCCTGAGATGAGCTCTTTCCCCTCTGTGGCTTCAAGTGTACCCCAAGTTTAATGTGGAAAAATTTTTAGTTATGCTGTGGTTTTATACTACGTGTTAGAATTAGAAATGAATTTCTCTCCTGAACAAACCTGTATACAGAGAAGCTATAAACCCACAATGAAAACTGATACTTGGAAATCCAAGAATCAAAATATGCTTAAAGAAAATATAAAAACTTCAGTCCAGCTAAGGACTCCTTGTGCTCAGATGCCTCCAGTCTACATTCTGCCTGTCACCTGCATCAGGACCTGCATCTTTGCCACCTGGGCAAGGAGGGTACAGGAAAGTACCAGCTGCATCACACCCTGGACTGGGCTGCCCGCAAGGATGGCCCACACGATTCCCTCCTGGCACTGGGCATTCACACTGGGTTCAGCCTGTGTGAAAACAAGGTGAGGCTTTGAACATGGGGCAGAGTTGACAGCAGGAGGATGATCAAGGCTGGTGACTCAGAAGCTTTTGCTGATGCACTCGACATGTGCAGGGCCTCACTGGCAGCACTGCTCCAGAGCTCACCTGGGAGGAGGGTCAGGAGGGAGTGGACAGGAGCAGGGAGCTGGACACACCAACTTGGCTGAGGTTCATACGGGCAGTACAGTCTTCAGGTGGGCGGCACTGCTCTCAATTCTGGCGTATCAATACCAAACCTCTTTGATTAAATAATATCCCTTCTAAGACCCAAGGCAAATATAGACTGAAGCCACAGACCTTGTAGTGGAGAGTGCAGAGCTTTGCAGAGACCAACAGAGAGCATGTATTGCCTCAAGGACTGTCCCTCGCTTGGGCACTTTCACCTAAGAAAGAAAATCCACTATGCAAGTTTAGGACAGTGGTGGCTGGGGTTCAGTGGTGAGATACCCCAAGCAGGAAATGGTGTCACTAAGCTCTCAAACAATCCCTCCTTGTGTTTCCCTTACCTTCTTCTTGCTTTAGTGTCATCCTCCAGAAAGGCTGGCTGCCCAGAGACAAAAGCCTTTACTCCACAACAAACACTTTCGTGTACCAAAAGAAAAGAGAAAACTCACATGTGTCTCCCAGCCAAAATACTCGCCCTTTACGCTTGTGAAGTACTGTACCATTTTGGAAGCGCTATGGCCCAAACATTTTCCCTCAGCCCTGTTCCTAGGCTGCCTGCTCTCATCTTCTGTTCACTCTCTAAAGTAAGGCTGTGTGGGGGAAAGAATAAATGAGCTCATAAAAGCTGAAGTGTTCTGGTAAAATTATCTTCACTATCTTGTCTGCCTTTCAGAAAAGAGAAATTTCCATCTCTTCACAGTGTGATCTCTGCTTCCTTTGCCCTTGACTGTGAAGAGCAATTTCAGATCTGTGTGGTTCTTGGCGAGGGTTCGATGGCCTTTGATTTCAGTCTGCCACCCAACAAGCCATGCTGCTTCTCCTCAGCTGTCCAGTTCTCCTCATAGGTTCATTAGCTGATCCCATTCCCTCTTTCCAGTAGTTCCAGAACCAGAGCCTTAGGTGGAAGACACAGGAGGCCTTTTCTCACACCACAGCCTCTAGAGCTAACCTCTCCCCAGGCTCTGACAGGGCTCTCAGCTGATTGTTGGTCTTCTTCGACCTCAGGGCCAAGGACTTCTCACAGGCACCCTCCCCAGACTGAAGGCCACTTTGTCCCTTTTTCTTGGCTTCTGTGTCATTTTCCAAAGGGGTGACATCCATCCCAAAAGCCTTGCCAATTTTCTCTCAGGGGCCTCAAGGATTCTCATGTAAATTAACATGGCATTTGGCCTGTTCTCATAGGTGAGCGTTCCCCACTGGGTAAGCAGGGAATCTTCCTCCAATTCTCAGATTCAGGGATGGAGAAGCAGAGGATTTTTATGGTCTAATTTGTTCTTCCCTGATCCCAGTCATCAACTGACACACTTATGTAGTAACCCACATATCAAAATAACTAGTGCGCCTGTTGTGTGTTGGGGGTCTTCTAATTGTCCACTGAGGGCAGCGAAGAAATAATGAATGACTTTCTCTTTATAATCCCTCACACTGTGTCTCTCTGTGGAGCAACTAGAACTCTATTCATCATGTCAAGTGGTCGGTTAGAATTGGGACAGGCCTCCCTGTCTTAGCTTTATGTCCTATTCAGGGAAGAAATGTCTGTTATTACTAGGAAAGAGCTGATGGGGCTGGAATTCTGGGAATAAAAAAATTACCTAATCCCAAACTCACTGCTTTTTTTGTTTTACTAGACAGCTTTTTATTTTATTTTATTTTTATTTTTTGGCAAATCCAGGAATTGAACTTAAGCCTTTGTGCTTGCCAGGCAAGCACTTATTCTACTGAGCCATCTTCCCAGCCTTAGATAGCTTAAAAAAAATACATACATACATATGTGCAGAAAAGGGCAACATGCCACAACTAACCCAAAGCATAAATGTGAACCAAACACATTTCATGACTACAAAAACCACAATGGCCAACATCTGTGACTGGCAAAACTCCCACTTGAATGTGTGGAGACTGGGATTTCTTAGCATAATGCAAGTAGCACATAACAAAAAAGAAGCTCACAGGCTAGGTAAAGCATTTGCCTAGTTTGTGCAAGGCCTAGGTTCTATCTCCAGCACCAGGAACAACAACAACAACAAAAAACCTGTAAGAAATTTGGGATGAGTAAGAAAATGACTATTTATGTCTGTATATATATACATATTTTGTATAATTAATATTTAAGAAATAACACTAAAGAGTATACAGATATAAATTATATATTGTGTATGTTTGCAAATGCTTCTCCAAGTTTCTTCTATTAAGCCCTTGGCAGGAAGACAGATACAGATATGAAGGTATAACAACATCAGCCATCTTCACATCAGAACACAGAAAATACCCTGCACATGGAGCTTCTCCTGAAGGTGAGGTTTTCCTTGACTTCATACTGGGTAGATGGGAGCAGCCACCATTCGCCCCAGCTCTCATGGACCCTGCCAGGCTTGTGTGCCCTGTAGGGGAAGGAAACTGTTAGCCTGGGGGAGTACAAGACCAGGCAGCAGCAGGAACTGCAAAGAACCAGCTCCCAGTGGAAGAGAAAAGAACCACCCCTGGACACCAAGGCCCACCGGTGGAGCAGATCTGAGCTTCCCAGCTGTGTTTCCCATCAGCTCCTCTCCTGTGACCTTGATGGGCCAGGTAGTGACTTCCAGGAGTTCAGAAGCCCCTGGCTGCTGGAATCTGAAGTAAAAGCTAGGTCACCCTCCACCCTACAGAGCTGTCATACCCAGTGGAAGGCACTGCTGAAAGTTGCTAGTTGATGTTGCTTACTGTCTGATGGTTGGTGCTTTTAGGAGAACAGTCAGAAACAGTAACAAGAAAGCAATATGGAACTGAGAGTCAGCCCTGGACCAGTCCCACGTGGGAAGAGACACGCTGCGCTTCTTCTGGGTTTAGTACCCAAATGTGGAGGACAGAGAAGGACTCGAAGATCGGAGGATCCAGGACAGATGATGGAGGGACCGTTTTGTGTTGGGCTGAAAGGCGTTGTCCTATCTGAGGGCGTTTGGTGATCCAGGATTGGGTGTCCAGAAAGAGCAAGCGGAGAGGAGGTATCTGAAGGTGAGTGAGTTGATGGAATTTGAATTCCGTAATTGCAACTTGAATTTCTGCCATCAACTCCAGGCTGCGCTGCAGTGTTTTTCTACAAAGGAAACAAAAAATTAGAAAACCAAAAACCCTCTGCAGCGTGGAGCCAGAAGGGATGGAAGTGGGTTAGGGTATTATATAAGCTCTTCGAGGGAGGGGAGATGGTCTTTTACGTGCGTTCTTTTGCAGCAGCGGAGCTCAGCGGCAGGAGCGGCTCAGGTTGATTTAGAGCGCGGATGACAGTGGCCTGGCGCGAGCGCGCGGCTGACGACAGCGCGGGTCCGCTCGGTTTCCATGGAGACGGGCTGGAGCAGCGGCGGCGGCGGGGCTGTCAGCGCGCGCGGCTGCGATCGCGCGTCCGCGGGGGTCTGCAGGAGGAAGGAGGAGGCTGGGGCCGGGACCCTCGCGGCAGACATGGACTTGCATTGTGATTGTGCTGCGGAAACGCCGGCCGCGGAGCCGCCGCCGTCGGGGAAGATTAATAAAGCTGCTTTCAAATTATTCAAGAAGAGGAAATCGGGTGGCACCATGCCCAGCATTTTTGGGGTCAAAAACAAAGGGGATGGGAAAAGCTCGGCTCCGACGACGGGGATGGTGAGGAGCAGGACCCACGACGGGCTGGCGGAGGTAGTGGTGCTCGAGGGGGGCAGGAAGGAGGAGCCGCGAGGGCCGGGCGACGCCGGCGGGGCTCGGCCGAACCCCGGGCCCCCCAGAGCCGCCGCGCCCGGCCTGGGTTCTCTGGCGCCCGGCTCCGTGGCCAAGTCCCACAGCTTTTTCTCCCTGCTGAAGAAGAACGGAAGGCCGGACCCCGGCAAGGGGGACCCCGCGGACGCGAGCAAGGCAGCCGGCAAACAAAAGAGGGGGCTGAAAGGCATCTTCAGCAGCATGCGCTGGCACAGGAAGGACAAGCGCGGCGGCGAGGGGCCGAGGCCGGCGCGCGCGGCCGCCCCCGGGAGCTTGGTGCTGCCGGGCTCGCTGACCGCCAGCCTGGAGTGCGTCAAGGAGGAGCCGCCCCGCGCCCAGGATGCCCCGCGACACCCAGCAGGTGAGCTCGGAGGGGGACCGCAGGCGCCCGCCGCCGCCCAGCGCGCCCCGGAGGGCGAGGCCCCGAGCCCCGGGGGCGCCCAGGACAGCAGCCCGCGGGCCGAGGACGCGGCAGGGCACCGGGAGCCGGGAGCCGGCGAGGCGCACGCGGTGGAGGCCGAGGACGCTTCCAGGACAGGGGACGTTGCGCCAGAGACCGTCCCCCTGGCCGACTCCGAGGGCGGCAGCGCACGGGCGTCCACAATCCCCGACCCTTCCTCTGTCGATCCACCCTCAGACCCATCGGCCGATCGTATTTGTTTGATGTTTTCTGACGTGACTTCACTGAAAAGCTTTGACTCTCTTACAGGCTGCGGAGATATTATTGCAGACCCCGAGGAGGAGGCAGGTCCCAGCTGTGACAAGCATGCCCCCGGGCCAGGCAAGCCAGTGCTGTCTAAAAAGACCCCCGGAGGCGTGGTGGCCTATCAAGGAGGCGGGGAGGAGATGGCCAGCCCAGATGGGGTGGACGACACCTATCTCCAGGAATTCTGGGACATGTTGTCCCAGACCGAGGAGCAAGGGCAAGGGCCCCAGGAGGCGGTGGCAAAGGTGGCCCCAGTCCCGGAAACCAAGGTGGCGCCTGAGACCTCTAAAGATGCCCGGGGTGCGGAGTCAAACAAGGATGCGTCCTCGGTCAAGCGCAGGAGAGTCCACAGGGTCCCCACCGAGCTGCATTCGAAGGAGGAGCCCAAGCACTCGGAGAAGGAGCCGCAAGAAGGTGTCCCCAACAGTGACGAGGGCTACTGGGACTCCACCACGCCTGGCCCAGAGGAAGACAGTGCGAGTAGCGGGAAGAAGTCGGGCCTCCCCCGGGACAGCGACAGCGGCGACGCACTCTACGACCTCTATGCAGACCCGGATGCCAACCCCGCCGGCCCCCCTGCCAGCGAGGAGACGGCCGGCTTGTCCCGATTGAAGCCGGTATCTCCAGGTACCATCACCTGTCCACTGCGAACACCAGGCAGTTTACTGAAGGACTCGAAGATCCCTATTAGCATCAAGCATCTCTCGAACCTTCCATCCAGCCACGCTGTTGGGCACCAGCAACCAGCCAAGAGTGAGTTACGCAGAACAAAAATACCAGTCTCCAAAGTGCTGGTCCGAAGGGTCAGCAACCGGGGCTTGGCTGGGACCACCCTCCGGGCAGCAGCATTGCATGACAGTGCCAAAAAGTTGTGAGGTCTCGAAGCCTAGGTGGATGGGTGGCATGTCCAGGAATACAGCTTTTCCCTGGAAACCACTAAAAAAAGTGATTTAGGACTGTCCCTGCTCCTGAACCTGGACCATGGAGGTCTTTGCACTGGGAACAGGGGCAGGATACTCCCACAGAGTCAGATGCTTCGCCTGGAATTCTCTCAAGATGAGTCCCTGAGAATTATTTTTGAGCACTTCTGTTCCCTCTTTTTACCTTTTTAAAGCTCTTTTTCTTTTTTTTTTTTTTTTTTTTCTTTCATGCACTGAACACTAAGAAGTCACCTTCACTTGCCTTTGTATAAAACAAGACAACCAAACCTAAGTTAGAATCATGCCAGGGTGCTGGGCTGTGCTAGTCAGAGGGCCTGGAGGAGCCATTGCTGACTGCCGGAAGACCCCTTGCCCTCCCTTGGTTCTTTCCTTTTCCTTTCTGGGGGCGGGGGAGGGGGAGACCCTTTACTGTATCACTGTGTGGAAACCACCTACAAAAACTGAAAGAGGGAGGTAGTGATTGACCTAATAAGGGTATCAGGGATTGGTAGAAAAGATCCCTAATTTCAGTTCCTAGGTATGCAAATAGGTAAAGATTTTCCCCTAGGAAAATGAAGGAGCTTTTAGTTTGGTTGTTTGAGATCATTTGGGGGAGAAATAAAAGGCTGAGCGAATAGGTTTTGTTTTGTGTTTTTGTTTTGGAATCTCCCTCCTCCACCCAGTGCAGAATCAGGATCAGGGAATGATTTCACTAAATGCCAATAGACACAATCTTTTAGCATTTATAAACTCCATCCTTCTCATGTGTAGATAATGCACATTTTACAGTTTATTCCACTTAACATTTTATAACCTGTCAATAACCTAGAATTTAAAATCTGGTCTTATAGCTAGATATGATGACTGTCCCCAAACCATCAAGATTCTTTTATGTACCATAACCTGAAGTAATGCTGGCTTTGGTTTTGGTTTATATGAAATCCTTATTTTTTTTTTAATCTATTGTGTGACTGTCCCAGAAGAATGGTTTTAACCTGTTTTAATTAAGAATCTGTTTCTTCCCTCAAACCCTGGTTTTCAGAATCTTGGTTATAAGATTTTGAATCCAACCATTCCTCAGTGGTCCAACATGAGGAACACATAGTGAAAGAAACAATAGAAAAACAAGGTTTTCCCTGTCATTTGAATTTTGCTTCATAGATTTATGGCTGAGACAAGTGTGTTCACATTATATTGACAAGCTTATGTATTGTAAATGCATTATAAAATTTTTTAAAGAAATGGTTTCAATTATATGTATCTTTCTAATATTTCATCTGAAACTTTAACTTCAGAAAGGGTTATTATATGCCTTGGTAGTTTGAATGATAAAGTGAGGCAGTTCCTCGAATGCTATTAATGTCTAATGCCTAAATTAATATCCTTTTTTGAAATATACTCCAGTGTGTCTGAGCAAAAGGCCAGAGCTCCTACTTGGAGGTAATTCATCACATCAGAAGGACTATATATATTCCAATGATACCAAACATATGTAAATGACATACACACTTGGTTACTTCTCCCTTTCCAGAGGGACTACTAAGTAATGAACTGTTGTTTTATTTTTAAGCTTGTTTTCTATTGTGTAAAGGAATAAAGAAGGCTAGTTAAAATTGGAAAACCCGTTTAATAATCTGAAGGAAGTAACAAAATAAATGGGCATTGAAGGAAAACAAATTTGAACCGGTAACATAAAGCAGGCTGTTCCTCCTTTTAAGTTTGCAATGATTCAATTAGAGGATGGGGTATAGGTTGGCTGAATTTCTTTATGAGTCAGTTTAATAGCTTTTATACATTGTCTCAGATTTTAAATGTTATTTCAAAGTAACATTTTAATGGTTAATTTCCTGTCTGTACAGGAGGCCCTACACGCAGGCATAGCCTTAAGCATTCTGAACACCCTACTAGAAATCCATTGAAGCATCTCAGACAGGCTCATGTTCTCAACTGAGTACAAACAAAATAATCTATAAATATTTAGATTCAGAAATATTTTTACAATTACTTTTGTCCTTGAGAAAGAACTTTAAATTTGATTTAATGTTGATAGCACAATGTAGACTTAAACTACAACAAATTAGAACATAAATTTTATTTCCAGCTGCAAAGCAAAGGATCCATATTTTCTTCTTGTGTGTTTTCCTGCATGGATTTTATTATTCACTGTATGACTCCATTGCTGAGTTTTATCTGTTCATTTTTTTCAACTGTACTCGAAAGTTAAGAATACCTGAACTGATGATAGTATTATCTTGGTAAAGGTAATCTAATTCTAAAATACTAGGATAATTTATTTTTGCTTTCACAATTTGGGGAATTATTTCTTCACTTACACTACTTTGCTGTCTTCTCTTTGTAAGTGAGAGAAAATATTAGCAAATTTTAATTTCTCTTCTTAATTAACCCCAAACTTGTTTTATTTCTTTTTCCTACATTTTCATGATTTTTAAACTCTATGTCTCTTAAGAATTGCACTCAAACTGGTCAAATGAAGAATTCAGGCCATACATTAAGTGGCCTCCTCACTCGGTGGGACTCACCTCTGTGGCAGGAGGAATGGTATGTGGTCAACCTTTTTTAAGAGAAAAGGTTGTAGTTGCTTTCTTCTACTAAGAGCTACTTTGTCTCATTTGACTTTATGAGATTGGTTTTCTAGAATTTTTCTGAATGTACATGCCAATTATTAATATATTCTCTAATAACTGTCTGAGGATTATACAAGCCTATTTTTGCTGATCATTTAAGGGAAGGGTTACATATGAGCATATGCCACCTTTCCTAATATATATGAACCTAAAATTTGTGGCTTAATGCCCTTTGGTTAAAGAGATGCCTAAATCAGAAGGGGGAAAGCCATGTTGATTGTTGGATCAGAAGTTATCAATTTAATACTTCTCTACAAAGACAGCCAGACTTTAAGGATTTTTTTTTTTTTGCTCCTCGAATGCCTGCAGGGCACTTTTGGCTGGCTGGAGTGTTGTGGGGATCGAACTACAGCAACCTGAGGCTCACAGCTTTGTGGAAGCAGCCACTTAAAGAACTGAGCTAGGGCCAGGCCCCCCAGACTTTAATATGTGCATTGCACGTCCAATGCTACTTGAAACATCTGCTCTAGTTCTGGTGATCCATGGTGCTTTTATTCTTCTACTAGCACCAAGTGGAAGAGATTTTACATACTACATTTTAAATAACTACAAAAGGAAATGAGCTTTTATCATTTCACTTAATAACACAATGGCAAATTGAACATGAAGGACTTTCTTTAGATACATTTTCCACAAATGATCTGCTTACTTAAGTGCAAAATGTTTAATCTATGAAGGTGATGACTTGCCAGATTTAAAGGTTTTATCCATTCATCTCAATAGTTGTCAGATACTTAAATAAACATGCTGTTAAATGAATATAAAGATAGCCCTTTGCTGACACACTATTAAGAAAAAAGGCTATAAGCAGGTGTTAAAATTGGAACACTCTGAAAGTTTTCCTTATTTACATTTTTATCAGGTTAAATTTTGAAAGTCATGGTTTACTGTGTGCTTTGTGTAAAGAGATCAACTCTTGTAGCTTTCTGCCTCTGTTGTCATCATAGTTGCTTGGGGCCCTCGGGTCGCAGGAGTGGGACCTGGACATACTGTTACCATGTTTGGGCCACAGTAACATGTGGGCATGCAGTCCTTGCTTGCTAGTAACTCTAAATTTCTCTCTTGAAATAGGAATACAAGGACTAGACTCCACCATGCTTGGGTTCTGTTGAGGCAAGTCCTAGGACACCCATATTTACGTGGCTCCCCTTTCTACTGTTCAGAAATTCAAGAATATAAAACTATTGGACTGAGAATGTGGCTCAGTAGTAGAGTGCTGGCCTAGCATTTGTGATACCTTGGGTTCAGTCCCCAGCACTGAAAATGAAACTATTGGAAAAAAATCCCAATTGCTTTTTTTTTACTACAAAGATCTCCCACAGGTTAAAGAATAAGAGAAATCCAAATGCCTCAGCTAATCCACTCCCTCCTCTAGGCAGACTAAGCAATGAATGTATTTCTCAAGATTAGAAATTCTTGATTCTTTACGCAAAAATATTTATAAAACAGTTTGGGACCAAAGAGCTAGTAGGCCAGGCCAGTATCTTAGGCAACCAGGGCAGGAAAGTAAAAGCCACACCCTGACTTCATAAAAATTGGAAGGCTGCTGCTGTCAGTGTAATAACTCCCCAGGTGCAGTCCTGAGTTCACACCCTGTGTTGCTCTGAGCTTTTGTGGAAGCTGTCACGGAGGGCTTCTTAGGAGCCTTACCACTGAATCAGGGCTTAAAGGAGACAGTTTGTTTCAACAATAGCCACTTACAAGGAATGTGATTATCTCACTGCGGATAATATTTTTAGAGGGCAATTCAGAAGACTAGTTTCATAATTATAGAAAGGAGAACCTCCTTGAACTCAAAATAGGAAGATTAAAATAGCCATGAAGTGCTGAAATGTTTTCGATTGATGTTTACTTGAATTCAGCGCAACATGTATTTATGGGACATATGCTATATCTAATACTTAAAAACCCATTTAGTGTGGGCCTCACATATAGCTATGCCATAACTGGATTTTCTTAATATTCATTAAAATCATTTTTATTTTACTGGTGCTAACTTTTTTGTATTTGTTGCTTATTGTTTGTGGAGTGGAAGAGAGTGGGGTGTATGAAGCGACACAAATTCCTCTACAGATAGTAATGATAACAAGAATTAAATTTGTTGAATGCTAACTATGCATTGGGCACTGCTAGAAGACTTATACATATTTATTTAGTTCTCTTACCAGTCATAGGGGGTTGTGACATTACTTCCCTAGTATTACATTTAATTTGTCCTCCCCTCAACCTCCATATCTATCTCGCCTCTCTGTCGTCTCTGACTCTCTGTGTCTATCTCTTTTCCTAGTTTCTTGGAAAAGGCTATAAATT